TTGTGCCAGGCTGAAGCCAGGAGCTAAGAACTTCATCTGGGTCACCCATGTAGATGATGGGGCCCAAACACTTGAGCCATCTTCTGCTGCTTTTCCCAGGCCATTAGCTGGGAGCTGGACCAGAAATGGAGCAGCTGGGACAGGAACTGATGCCTGTATGGGATGCCAGCAACGCCAGTCCCAGAAATATCTTTTCAACCTTTAGATCCTTTATATATATATAAATATATATATATATATACATATATATATACACACATATATATATACACACACACACGTGTATATCAGTAGATATATCAGTGTCAGTGAATATATCTATGTATCAGTATACATATATATGTCTATCACCACACACACACACACACACACACACACATCCATCCATATAAATTCTTGTTTTAGAGAGGAAACCTCAGGATGAACCTCAAAAGTGCTCAGAGTAGATCCTACTCAGCCAGCTCTCGACAGGCAGGACAGAGAGAGAGCAAGAGAGCAAGAGAGTGAGAGTGAGAGAGATAGAGAACCTATTGTGTCCACTCAGCAGTTGCCCTAGAGAGAAATATTATTTTTTGTAAAGTCAACCAAAAAGGAAAAAAAAACCCACTGGTTGCTGAATCAATTTGCTGAAATTTCACAGTTGTCTCTGTAGATTGGACTCTGGTTGGCAATGAGGAGTGTGTGGGTGGAGGGTAGGCACAGAGGAGGGTCTGCCCGGCTGCTTCCTCAGAGATAAAGTTGTGTAGCTGCCCTCAGGCCTGAGAAAGTAGTTTAAAAGATAACAAAATTGCACCCTGGTATTTCTTTTCCTTTGTTTTAAAAAATTACTTCTCTTGGGAGGGATTTTGAATATATGAGACTGAACTTGCTGCTAACTTTGTTTTTTAAAGATTTATCTTTATTTATTTGAAAGGTAAAGTTACAAAGAGAGAGAGAGGGAGAGAGTGGGAGAGAGAGAGCAAGCACTTCCATCTGCAGGTTTATTCCCCAAATTGCTGCAAGAGCTGGGGTTGGGCAAGGCCAAAGCCAGGAGCCAGGAACTTCATCTGAGTCTCCCATGTCAGTGCAGGAGCCCAAGCATGCACTTGGGTCATCATCAGCTTGCCCAGGCCATTAACAGGGAGCTGGATTAGAAGTAGAGGATTCAGGACATGAACCAGCACCCATATGGGAGCAGGTACCTGCTATGCCCACAGCACTGGCCCCACCACTGCTAACTTTTAACCATGACTTTGCCTCTGTGTCATGGTCATCTCATCTTGGACATAGTAGTCTGATGGTGGCCAGTGTAGAATGAACTCTCAGTCCTGCTGTATGCCCACGCTGGTTCCATCCAAGGACAAGGCATGACCCAGGGTTGGGACCTCGTCTCTGTGCTAGCTTCTGTCCTGGGTCTTCATGCTGCTTCCATCCAAGGACAAGGCATGTCCCAGGGTTGGGACCTCCGTGCACCTACCTCCTCTTTGTGCTGGCTTCTGTCCTGGGTCCTCTCTTACCAGCACTTTCACCTTCTCCAGGGTGACTTTTCCTCCAGCATCTAAATGCGTCCTTCACAAACAAAACTCTTCCAGATTCCACGTCCCTCGAGCTGTCTTTCACCTGCACATGGATGTCCTCCTGACCTCTGCTGTTGCTCCTTGTTTGTAGCTTCCTTCTCACTCATTCCCCTCCCACTGCCAGTTGGCCCCTGCCTCTTGACTCCATGGATGCCCTTTTCTCAAATACCAGGAAGGCTCTGCAGTGTCTGCACCCCAGATTCCCTTACCTGATCCCTCAGTAGACTGCCACACTACACTTCCCCTGCCTGGGGTTTCTGGCACTTCTTCTTTTTTAAAGACTGGGATGCTTCCATTAATCACAGGAGATAGAAGGGGTTCTTTCTTTGTAATGTGAAAGGCAGACAGACAGACAGACAGAACTCCCATAGCACTGTTCACTCTTCAAATGCCTCAATGGCTGGGACAGGGTCAGGCCGAAGCCAGGAGTCAGAAACTCAGCCTAGGTCTCCAGATAGATAGTAGGAACCTAGCTGCTCGAGCCATCACAGCTGCCTCCCAGGCTTTGCATTTATAGGGAGCTGGAGAGAGGAGCTGGGACTCAAGCCTGCGTGCTCCAACTTGGGACTCGGATGTTGTGACTGGTGTCGTAACCATACAGCTATTGTTTGCCTTGAGCTTCCTCTTCTGATGTTCATAACCACTTCTTTGGCTTCTTCTGCTATTTTTTAAAAATAGTTGTGATGAGTTATGCATATGAAATGTTACCATTTTATCCTTTTTCAGTATACAGTTCAGTGACATCACATGTATTATGCATATATTTTACCTGTATTTCCATTTCCATAACTTATCACCCAAACATAATCGCTGCACCCATTAAACAATAGCTTTGCCTTCTGCCTCCCTAAACTTCTGTTCTATTTCTGCTCTCTATGAACTTGCCTATTATTTTCTTTTTTTAAACTTTTATTTAATGAATATAAATTTCCAAAGTACAGCTTATGGATTACAATGGCTTCCCCCCCCATAACTTCCCTCCCACCTGCAACCCTCCCCTTTCCCTCTCCCTCCCCCCTTCCATTCACATCAAGATTCATTTTCAATTCTCTTTATATACAGAAGATCAGTTTAGTATACATTAAGTAAAGATTTCAACAGTTTGCACCCGCATAGAAACAGAAAGTGAAAAATACTGTTTGAGTACTAGTTATAGCATTAAATCACAATGTACAGCACACTAAGGACAAAGATCCTACATGAGGAGTAAGTGCACAGTGACTCCTGTTGTTGACTTAACAAATTGACACTCTTGTTTATGGCATCAGTAATCACCCTAGGCTCTTGTCATGAGCTGCCAAGGCTATGGAAGCCTTTTGAGTTCACCAACTCTGATCATATTTAGACAAGGTCGTAGTCAAAGTGGAAGTTCTCTCCTCCCTTCAGAGAAAGGTACCTCCTTCTTTGATGACCTGTTCTTTTCACTGGGATCTCACCAGCGGAGATCTTTCATGTAGGGTTGTTTGTTTGTTGTTGGTTTTTTTTTTTTTTTTTTTTTTTTTTTTGCCAGAGTGTTTTGGCTTTCCATGCCTGTAATACTCTCATGGGCTTTTCAGCCAGATTTGCGTGCCTTAAGGGCCGATTCTGAGGCCGGAGTGCTGTTTAGGACATCTGCCATTCTATGGGTCTGCTGTGTATCTCACTTCCCATGTTGGATCGTTTTCTCCCTTTTTTATTCTATCAGCTAGTATTTGCAGATACTAGTCTTGTTTATGTGCTCCCTTTGGCTCTTAGTCCTATCATTATGATCAATTGTGAACAGAAATTGATCACTGGGACTAGTGAGATGGCATTGGTACATGCCACCTCAATGGGATTGAATTGGAATCCCCTGGTATGTTTCTAACTCTACCATTTGAGGTAAGTCAGCTTGAGTATGTTCTGAATTGCCAGACCCGCCAGACCCACCAGAGCAGCAGGACCCGCCGGACCTGTTGGAGCTGCAGAGTCTGCGCGCCAGCGCTGGAAGGAGAGGTGAGCTAAAAACCTCTCGTTAACCTGAGACATTGGTGGGGAAAGGCAGAAAAAGCCCGCAGAGAACGAGGCCTGAAACCCCCTTGGGGAAAGTTCACCAGGCTGGCTGGAGGGGAGAAAAAATCAAACAAATAAGGGGAACCTGCACGGACATTTAGCCTATCTCTCCACTCACCTTACAAAGTCGAGCAAGACATAGGGAAGGCGCCATTTTAGGTAAGTAAAGCTGTGCGCACCATTTTGCATATATAAAGCACGTGTCTCTCATTAGCCAAGCAGGAAAAACCTGACTCTGGTAAGCAAACGAATACCCACAGGGGCCAGATTTCATACATCAACTACTCTCAATTCCACTCAGCTGTGTGGAATTACCTCCCAACTGAGTCAAAAAAAAAAAAAAAAAAAGAGAGAGAGAGAGAGAGAGAGCGAGCGAGAGTGAGCAAGAGAACAATCAGGGTGAATCACCTTTGGCACACCCTTAACCCTGTAGAACTAGAGTTCTCTGGCCACACCCATCACAGCCTCTAAGGATCCATCAAAAGCAGACAGTCCTCTTAATCTAGAGTCACAGTATAACAAGAAAAAACCAAAGAATATCTCCATATGACAAACAAACGCAAAAGCCGAGGTAACAAGAACAAGGGAGACACTATGATGCCCCCAAATGAAATAGACACCCCAATTCAAGATTATGAAGATGATGAGATAGAAGAAATGCAAGAAGTGGATCTCAAAAAATTGATAAGAACATTAAGAAGTTCTCAAAAACAAATTCTCGAACTACAGAAATCCTTAATGGACAAGATAGAAAATCTCTCTCGTGAAAATGAAATATTAAGGAGGAATCAAAATGAAATGAAACAACTAGTAGAAAATGAAACTGTGATAGTGACGAGAACTTGCCTATTCTACGTGCCTCATTTAAATGGAATTATACATTTGTCCTTTTGTGACTGGTTTATTTCACTTAACATAGTGTTTTTAGGGTTCAGCCAGGTTATAGAATGTGTCAGAATTTCATTTACTTTAAAAAAGATTTATTTTATTTATTTGAAAGGAAGCATTACAGAGAAAGAGGGAAAGTCAGACATAAAAGTCTTTCATATGCTTGTTCACTCCCCAAAGGACCACAATAGCTGGGCCAGGCTGAGGCCAGGAGCCAGGAGCTAGGAGCTATATCCAGGTCTCCCGGGCGGATGCAGTGGCCCAAGCACTTGGACCATCCTCTGTTGCTTTTCCAGGTGCATCAGCAGGGAGATGGATCGGAAGTGGAGCAGCTGGGATTCTAATGGCACCCATATAAGTTTGCTGGCATTGCAGGTGGTAGCTTAACCCACTACACAATGGTGTTGGACCCAGAATTTAATTTCTTTTACAGAATTTAATTTTTTATATATATAAACTCATATATATTATAATTATATATATATTTCCATACTTTGTTTATCCATTCTTCTGTTGTTGGATGTTAAAAATATAAAACCTATCCTGACTTTGCATGTCATCATTCTTGTATGGGGTGATGCTAACCTTCTCTGTGTTCCAATTTTCATCTTCATGCAGCTGAAGATGTGCATTCTTGCTGCGTTTTTCAGATTCTTCTTCCTTTCACTGTCTGCATCCCCTGAGTGGTCTCATATCTGAGACCTGGAGACACAGCATTCCTCAATTCTCTCTTCTCACTTCCTACAATCACCCTGGGAGGACTGCTGAAGGTGCTATAGCCTCTCAGTCCTGGTTGCAGGATGTTTCTTTTTATTTATTTGACAGATAGAATTAGACAGTGAGAGAGAGAGACAGAGAGAAAGGTCTTCCTTCCGTTGGTTCACCCCCCAATTGGCCAATATGGCCGGAGCTATGCAATCCGAAGCCAGGAGCCAGGTGCTTCCTCCTGGTCTCCCACACGGGTGCAGGGGCCCAAGCATTTGGGCCATCCTCCACTGCCCTCCTGGGCCACAGCAGAGAGATGGACTGGAAGAGGAGCAACCGGGACTAGAACCTGGTGCCCATATGGGATGCCAGTGCCTCAGGTGGAGGATTAGCCAAGTGAGCCATGGTGCCGGCCCTGTTTCTCTCCTTATGCATTGACAACATTTGTATTTTTCCAACCAGCCTTGGATGTTGTCTCCTCCAGAATATTGGGTCTAGATCTTTGAGGCTGGGGTAGATCCCTCTGCCTCTGTTCTGCTTTCTCTTTAGATCTATCCCATGAGAGCACTTGTCAAAATGGAGATAACTATTCATCAGCATATCCATGTCATCCACAATATCACAAATATCCCAAAGGCAGGGCTTCATCATCATTATTATTTTTTTTTACAGGCAGAGTGGACAGTAAGAGAGAGAGACAGAGAGAGAAAGGTCTTCCTTTTGCTGTTGGTTCACCCTACAATGGCTGCCGCTGCTGGTGTGCTGCGGCTGGCGCACTGCACTGATCCGAAGGCAAGAGCCAGATGCTTCTCTGGTCTCCCATGGGGTGCAGGGCCCAAGCACTTGGGCCATCCTCCACTGCACTCCCTGGCCATAGCAGAGAGCTGGCCTGGAAGAGGGGCAACCGGGACAGAATCCGGCGCCCCGACCGAGACTAGGACCCAGTGTGCCGGTGCCGCTAGGTGGAGGATTAGCCTATTGAGCCGTGGCGCCGGCTTCATCATTCATTATTGCATTCCCAAGGGCCAGCTTCAGGCTGCCTAAAACACCATTGGTGGTCAGCAAGCATGGTTGAATGTGAGCAAACTGCCTCCTGACTCACATGGGTCCCCCATCACCATTATCTCCCCAGGTCCATATTTCATACTGTCAAAAGGTGTACACCCCCAAAATTAAGGCATGCTCCCTTCAGTCATCTTCCTAAAAACTCTCTTAGGTCTCTTGATGTCCTCTGTAGCAACATGTTGACATGTAAACTTCAACCCTTCACATATGGCCCCCATTCATCAAAACCACTTCAGATCATGTTTAATCCTAATTCAGGGATGTCAAAATAATCTCTGTTTCCCAAACATGGGCTCTACTGTGAGGTGTGTGTGTGTGTGTGTGTGTGTAGAAAAAAATATTATTCCTTTGGGCTGTTGAGCTTTCCATTTTAGGCTTTTGCTGCCTATGTGTCCTTAAGAAAAGAGGAGCTGGCCAACTGTTCTAGACACTCACTTTCCACTTTCTCAACTACCCTCTCCACCAATCACATTTGCCCCTCTCAACCGCTGATTCAAGAATCAGAGGCACGGAAACGGGACCACGAGGAACTCACTTTGGCAACAGTGGCTGAAGGAGGATTAAGGATCTGGCACAGCAGGAGCAGTGGAGGGTTCTGCTTCCACTGTGAGGAATTTTAGAAGTTCAAGCTGCGTATCCAATGTTTGGCAGAAGCAGTGTTCAATTCTATGTTTTGATTTTGAGAATTTTCCTCTTGGCAGCACAGCTTGGAGGTTGCTTCTCCAGGCTTTCCCCAAGTTCCGTGAAACAAACATGATTATTTCAACAGACTCCAACAGAAACATGTTCAACGCTTGCCACGAGAAACCCAGCGGTCAGGTGAGCGGATTCTTCTGTTGAGTCCGCATAGCCTTGAGCCTTCTCATTTTTCAATACCGTTCTCCAATGTCAATTGTCATACAGGTCTCCTCCTGGGGTAGCACCAACAGTTTTTACCATTCCTATCTCACCCACGACACACTCTCCTATCTGGATTTGGATACTGAGTCTCCCATTTGTTGCCTTTATTTTTGTTTGCACTGATTAAAGAATTTATTTTGAAAATCTAATAGACCTCTGAGAAGCTCAGAGGAAAGAAGCTCCTATCTACAGTCCCCACCCAAGGGCAGGAGGGTGACAGTCTTTTTAAATGTCCAGCTCTTGGGTCATTCATTACATGATTTTGGAAGTCATTTAAACTTTCTGAGCCTCAGTTTCCTTACCAATAGAATGGGGACTCTTGCAGTAGTGAGAAGTAGAGACACATTCAGGGTAACTTGCAAGGAAAAAAGAAAGATGGGGATCTCCCTGACCCATCATCTACTGCAGAGGCAGAGGAACTATGGCTCAGCCAGGCTTTGAGAACTGTTCTCAGTTTGGGAACAAGAGACAGGAAGACCCCCGGCCACCTAGGAAAAGGTGGGTTGTCTGTTCCCTGTGAGCAATGGAGAAATCAGATCACTTCTCTGCGCTTTGCCTTTTGGTGATGCTGTCCATTCATCTCTTCCTTTCCCACTGCCACCCACTAATCAGCCCGGTCACTGAATGTCTTGAGCCAAATTCCCCAGGAAAGATCTGATCCTATTAGCCAGTCTCCATCCACTCTGTGGTCATAACTCTATTGGGCATATCTGTAAGAATATTTGCTATTGGATGAGACCTTTGTCCCTGGTCTAATCTAGGTAGGACTGGAGTGGCAGGGTCATGAGATACAGCACAATGTCATTTTTGGGTGAGGAATTGCCTCTTGCACTTACAATAGATTTTTCACAAGTAGGGTCTGGGCATCTCTCTGGGGTTTAAGCAACTCTGGCCATGCATAGGAGATGCTAACCCTCCGTCACAGGTTGGCTGAAGATCGAAAGGGAAGGCCAAGTGCCTGTTGCCAGGGGGCAAGCATTTGAGAAACGCTCAGTGTTTCTGTCCTACTCTCTTTTGATTTGAACCTGTGGGCAAATGGTAACCTTAGGATTTAATATTTCTTACAAAGGTTTAGTATATTTTTTGGAAAAAAAAGGTTTATTTATTTATTTGAAAGGCAGAGTGGCAGAGAGAAGGAGTAACAGAGGAAAGAGAGAGAGATCAATCTTCCATCCTCTATTTCACTCCTCAAATGGGCACAACAGCCAGGGCTGGTTTAGACCAAAGTCAGGAGTCTGGTGCTTCATCTGCTGACAGGGCCCAAGCACTGGGTCATCATCTGCTGCCTTCCCAGGTGCATCAGCGGAGAGCTGGTTTGGAAGCAGAGCAGCTGGGGCTCCGATTGGTGGATATCAGTGCTGCAAGTGGTGGCTTAACCCATTGTGCCACAACCCATTGGCCCTACAAAGTGAGTTTTAGTTTTGTTCATTCATGTTTATGCCTCAAGATTTATATTGATTCCTATGAGTCACACTCAGGTCACAACAGAAAAAGAACATTTTATCTTCAGAAGATGGTGAGGATGGTGAGGATGTTGTTGAGACAGATAATAAACAATGATGTTGATGATGTTGAAAATGATGATGACGGGCTGGCGCTGCGGCTCAATAGGCTAATCCTCCGCCTAGCGGCGCTGGTACACTGGGTTCTAGTCCCGGTTGGGGTGCCGGATTCTTTCCCGGTTGCCCCTCTTCCAGGCCAGCTCTCTGCTATGGCCCAGGAGTGCAGTGGAGGATGGCCCAAGTACTTGGGCCCTGCACCCCATGGGAGACCAGGAGAAGCACCTGGCTCCTGCCTTCAGATCAGCGCGGTGCGCCGGCGGCAGCGCACAGGCCGAGGTGGCCATTGGAGGGTGAACCAACGGCGAAAGGAAGACCTTTCTCTCTGTCTCTCTCTCTCACTGTCCACCTGTTCAAAAGAATATACAACATATAACAAAGAAAAGAAAAGAAAAAGAAAATGATGATGATGATTGCTAAGAATAGTGACTCCAGTACTCTCTGGGATTTAACCAATCTTGCTGTGTGTAGGAGATGCTAACCCCCGCTCACAGGTTGTATAGGAGTGCTAAGAGCTTTGCATGAATTACCTTATTTCGTCCTTTCCTGGTGCTATGAAGTATGTTCTGTTTTTGTCCCTGTTACACAGAAACTAATCCACATTAGCAGGATCTTCAGAACAGCAGCTTCTATAACCAACGCCAAAGAGACACAACTCATGGATTTTTTTTCTAATTGATTTCTAACACTATTCACTTCTTTCGTCATAAGCACTCTTAACTAAACATTGATTTGTTAGATATTCTAAACATTTAAGCTGATTGGCTGGGAAGTCCTGGAAACTCTCAGGAAGGTTAGGTAACTGCCAAGGCTGTGACTGTGGATTTTGAACTCCACTTGCAGAGGTGGACTCTTTAAATAGCTAGTAGGTTAGATTTTATCTGTGCTGCAGCGAAAGACTCACTGGGTGGCTCTTTAAGCTTATAGTAGAACACATCACAAAAGCATGTTAGGGGTATACATGGAATTGACTTTCAAGACTACTGGCCAATCAGTTTAAATATTTACAATATCTGAGAAATCAATATTCAGTAGGGAGGATATTTGTTTGGATGTGGAGATATGATGGATAAAAGTATATTTTAGGAAAGCAATTACAAAAACAAAATCTGAGCTGTGCTCTCTCATGGTGGTTATAGAAGCTGCTTCTCTGAATTACTGCTAATTTGGATTAACACCAGCTGCACATGAAAAACTGTTCTCCACATTTTCTTTTAAAAATGTGATATATAACTGTTGCATACAGCATATTCTGTACCTTCTTTGTAAATGGTCTTAAATGAGGAATAATTTAAAATAAATATTCCATTTTCATTATTTGATTCTGTCGTCACTGTCATGAACATACTTTATTTGTTTCAATGTCTGGAGCTTTCGGTTTAAGGACACATGTGAACAATTAT